TACCCGGGGGGTGCTGATACGAGCGTGCTAACACTCCCTGATGCGTCCCGGTTGGTGGTTCAACTAAGCCCCCGCACCAACGACAAGGTGCCTGCCCTAGCGAGGGGCAGTGGAGCGTTAAAGCATAAACAGACGGCAGCGTTGATCCGGATCAATTCGGGAATTAACTGCAGTTGATCCGGATTAAATACGAGTTAATCGGGCCTCCGCACACTAGCCTGCTCAGTCGGACTAAGCAGTCCACCACTCGAACGCACACTGGACTGGGCAGTCGGCCGAGTTTTCCGATCTAAAAATATTCTACATTCTACGCCATTTCAACGAAAAGTTGTTTTTGCCCATATAAAATACATGAAAAACTTTAAGCGCTTTGAGCACTCCTTAAATTCCTATTTATTTTAAAATAAAAAAAAAATAGTGGTATATTTTTTTTTTTGTATAGAACAATCCTAGGGGGTGCCGCCATTAAAATTTCGACTTTACTTTTTCACGTGCAATTTTGGTCCACTCTAGTGCATATATAAATATATATATATAAATATGTACATATATAAATGACTTTGTACTAGGAGGCGTGGCTCATAGGGGACATATGTATATTTCGTTTAAACATTACATGAAGCATTTTTTGAATGCAGTAATCATCCACGTCTAGAAACAAATGCACCTAAGTCTATAAAGATTTTATTGATTAAGGTTTCCTGAATTTGCATTTCACAAGGTTATCGCCGGGGAAATAAAAAGTGTAAAAATGCAAGTCACATTCATGTGTGAAACTATGCACTATATTTTTCTATGAAACTTTAGTAACTATTTTGACTTTTTTCGTTCAATACACTTTCATACCTACACACACATGTATGCATTGATTTCAAGTGGTAGCGATTGCTGTTCGATTGCATAAAAGCGGTGATCCTCTTCACCCACCAGCTACCTATACATACATATGTAAGTAATACATTGTAAGTAATCTCAAATGCCTTTGAACCTGTACTGTCAATCAAATTCATACGAGCGCAGTTGTAGCCTGTTCATAGGCCCGTGCGATCCACTAGAGCTCATGTAGACATCAATATACATACATACTATATATGTAGCTACATATGGTAATATCTAAATGTAGCTTCCGACCATCTTATGACTTTTATATATCTACCAGCCAGGGATGAAAAATGGAAATTTCAGATTGTACCTAATACCATAAAATAAATGCACCTAAATGAGACAGATTGTACATAAAAAGTTACTTTTCATTCATTTGTAGTTTTTTTTATTAAGATAATTTAAAATATAAATACAAATGATGAATGCACTTTAAACTTGATTAGGTTTGTTTTTTAAACTGAGCTTATATCTATATACTATAGTCTAATGGGAATCGGAGAAGCTTTGTTTTTGTCTAATCTTGACTACTGAAAAATATTGGCGAAAAAGCATAAAACTTGTTTTTTCCTTTTTAATCCAGCTTTTTATAAAAAACAGGAAAAGTCGGCTAATTTATCCGATTCCCTTTAATAGTGCAGCAAGTCGAGAGGAAATGATCGGAATTGCCGTAGGTTACTTCGAGAGCATTTTAAACATATTTCCAGAAATGAAATTGAAGAAATCCTAGACACGAGACTGTATGGGCGAATAAAATTAATAGAAGAGTTAAAATGTCATATCCGGGGAACTTTAGCTTTTATGGTTTCAATAGATAAAAAATGCATTCGAATAATTGCAAAGGTGGAAAGTTTAGGGTGTGATCTACGGTGCAATGACGTTTTGTCGAATTAAATATTTCAAATTTCGAATATAAAAAATATAACAAGAATTTCGAACTTGAGGATAGCTAAGTAAAGTGTTAATTTTTCGTAGTGGCCGTTTTAAATGCAAAGCAAAATATTCAAGAGAATACATAATATGATTTTTCTAATTTCTTCCTTTTGACCACTTTTCTTTGGAATTGCTTATTCTTCAAAATGAAAGCGAAGCTTCTCACATGCCTATAAGTAAATATTTTAGCAGGATAAAGGAAAAAGAAACAAAAAAACTTAAAATGAATCTTATCGAAATATGATTGTACCTAAAATCTAGCGATTGTACCTGATGTACCTTTAAGTCATCAAACGTCGGAAAAAGGTACAATTGCACCTACTTTTTCATCCCTGCTACCAGCACTTCCTCAAAGTGAAAGTGGATTTGCTTGTTCCTAGAAAGTTGTTTTGTTTCAACCTTTCTTCTTTCCTTTTTTGGAAAAAGGAAATACCTTCATAGATTTCATGTAGGCTTTACGTGATTTCCTACCAACGGCTTTAACCACGGTGCCCGCATTTGGCACAACGGATTAATTTTTTGCATTAATCACTGCCCTGAACTGCAAGCACTTCAGTACCAATTGGCAGTATGTGGTGGACACACTTACCACCTTGGTAGGGCCGAGGCCTACCTAAACCTCTGACGATCTGTGGATCACGACATCCGGTTGCAATGCAACTCCACATTGAACCATTGCTGGTTCTACCCGCATTTAGGTATTAAACCACAGCCACCACGATACTCCCCAAAGGGGCCGTACCCATGAACAGACCGGAGTAATGCTCGCCGGCGAGATTTGCTGGACTGGCTCAACTCACCCTGACCCACTTAACTGACTCAGCTCACACTAGAACGACTTACACGACTACTTCACTCCACATTCATACTCCGTCTTGCTCGTCTCACAAGTCTAATCGCCTCGCTCGTGGGCACCCTCCACATCCAGGAGCGGTGACACGGCTCAGCTTTCGCAACGGATCGAATTGCTCAACTTGCGCACAACTTTTTCACCATTTCCAGCGGTTTCCACCACACTTTTGCTCCAATTACAACTGTTTTCTCCATTATCTCCATTTTCACCATTTTCTCCATTTTCTAGTCGTGTAAGCCATGCCAGTGTTTGCCTTGCCTGCCTTGCAAGCCTTGTTTGTGTCACCAGTTTTGCTCGTCTCGCCGACGAAAACACTCCGGGGGCATCTGTTCCCCGTGGCACCATTTTTAAAGTCTTTGGTATGACTCTCGAAAGCCGTAGACTTCTTCCAGTTGAACCTCCACCGACTCAGGACTGGTAGCCTTTAACTGGGGTTGACGGGGTTGTCAAGCCCGTACCCTGGAAATACCAAAGCCCCCTGTCTTCCCTCCTGTTTTCGCAAACCGGGCTTGGGACCGTCTAAGGCACAGTTATACCTTCATAGAGAAAGAAAGAAGCCTTTTGTGACAGCTTTAGCTGTAAGATTTCGACCGCTCTGTATGCTTTGCAAAATGTAGGGAATAGTTGCCCGCCACTAATAATTTCTCTCTCGTGAAAGTTTGATTGTAATAAGTAGCTATCGTTTCGTTGGATTCAAACACCAAAGCAAAAAAAACCGTCAAACGACGAAGACACATTTACCAGCTTGAGAAACATATCTCCATATCCTCTAATATTTCCAACGCTCCCTTTTTCTGCTACCACCAGCGGGTACTGCACCGAATACTCTCATTTGGATCCATTCGTAAGACATAAGCTAGCCAACGCAGTCGCTCTATTTTAATTCGCTGAACTACACTGCACAGTAGTTTAAAATTGGTATATTGCGTTCATAATTAACCGGAGCCTTAATTTTCCACTCAGTTTGATTAATTATTACTTTTTCTTAATGAAAGCAAGAGACTATTTTTTTAACTTTTGTTTGTTTGTATTAATTTTTTCGGTGCAAAGTGCAGGAAAAGTAGTGATTTTTAAGAAAATCGATTCTCCTGTTCCAGTTAATAAATGTTAAATAATAAAAACTTGACGAAAACAATTGTAGGGTTTTCCCAAAACGAAAAAGATTGACATGTTATAAAAAGCTTTTCACCAAAATTATTATTTTTTTTTGGTTTTTATTCAAATTTTAGGTATGCAGTTTTATAGATCATTAAATTTGGTCTAATAATGTGCAAGTTGCAAGTGGCTAATAGTTCGCGTTGATTTTTAACAATATAACAAACGCTTTTATTTCCCATTTAGCATGCAAATGTGCTCGAAATGTTAGTGAAAAAATTATTAAAAATGAGCGCGGCCTCTTAACCACTGCAAATTGCTCTTTATTGTACTAAAATTTAATTTTCCCCAACATTTTTCTAGAAACTCAAAAAAAAATTTTATTTTATTTTGGTAAATTTTTTAAACATTTCAAACTTTTTTTTTAAATTTTTTTTCGTTTCAGGTGAAATCTACAATTGTTTTCAACTCGTTACTATTATGCAAAATTTATTAACTGGAACAGGATAATCGATTTTCATCAAAATTGCTACTTTTTCTGCACGTTACACTAAAAAAAAAATAATACAAGCACACAAAAATTCAAAAAATTCAATTTTATCCGCTTTCATTAAAAAAATAATAATAATAATCGAAGTGACAAACAGTTACGCTTATTTTCATTTTTTCTTTCTTAAATTTTTTTTTTTCATTTTGCTTATCGAATAATCTGAGCGGGGACAAATATTTTTGTATGGCGTAGGTATAATTAGTGTATCAAAGAAATACCGTTCGCAAAAGAAAACAAAACGCCTTATAATGATATTAAAAAACAGTTTTGTTGGTGGTTTATTATTTGGCTCCTATAATGCTGTTTTTGATTTTTCGTTTTTACCACCATAAAATAAATTTAAAAGGTGAAACAAAAAATATCACTTTATTTGGAAATGGCCCTCATACATTTGTACGTCTATCAGATAACTTACAGTATTTTAATACAAACGTATACATACATACTAAGTTGTCAAATATTAATGTTATCTGTATGATGCAGATAATGCCGTTTTATTTTGCTCCCGGTGATGTTTTTTCCTTGTCTATTCATTTACTATCTGTATATTACTTGGCGTATTTAGTACAATACAATGTGAAGTTGACTCGATCTTATTAAGCAATGTTTTATTTAGTTTTTCTATGGGCTCATTTAAATGAGCTGCAAGCGATAAGGAAAGACTATAAGATGCCTGCAAAAACCGTAAACCAGCTTCATTCCCAGCCAATACATTGCTGATAGTAGACATTTTTTGTGGTTTCGTAAATATATTTATATTATTTCACATACATAATTATAAAAGAAGCAACCAGAACAATTTAGTGTATGCGCAGTTAAAATTTTATGAACTAAAATTTGTGGTTTTCTTAAAGCTAAGTCGCCACGAACTCTAAACAACTTTGATAATAATAAACTGTGGTCACAAACGCCGCCACAAAAAATCTATCTGAGTGTATATTCTGCACTTAACCGAGTACCACCGCAGGAGTTGATATGTATAAAAACTGAAGGCAGTCACAAGTGAAAAATTATTAACTTCCACAATTTGGTGCTGTGAATATCGGTAAAAAGTTGTGTGTGTGTGTGTGGTGAAATTTAAGGATAACTTTATAAAGTTTAAAGTGTAGAAATAATCTTTCAACTTAAGAAAAATGGAATCGCCTGCGCCTGAGTCGTTGAAACATACACTTTATGTGCCAAATAGGACACTGATGGGGCCTGGACCATCCAATGCTTCGTCACGTGTGCTCGATTCACTCAGCAATCCCATTTTGGGGCATATGCATCCGGAATGTTTTGAGGTAAGTATAGAAAATGGAAATATCTGAATATACCAAACTGTCCCTGCAATTAAAAACTCAATTTAAATTTAACTGAAGTCAAATCTGAATTTTATTTCTATTTGGTTTGAGTTACGGGTACATATTCTATTTTTATCATAGCTTAGGCTAAAAACACAGTGGAGCGACGAGCAAAGCGACTAGCATTGCATCGAGCAAAGCGTCAATTACAAATGTGTAGGAAGGCTTTGCTCTTCACTATGCACGCTTCCATTGAAACATATGTATATGTACGTTTGTAATCGGCGCTTTGCTCAATGCTCTTTGTTCGTCGCTCCACTATGTTTTTAGTCTTAGAAGGGCATAACCTTTTGCCGTCGATGTTCTTCCGTGGCGCTAATTTATAGTTTGATTTTAACGATTGAAAATCTGTCAGATCATTATGATTGCGGGACTTTCAGTCGTCTACACTTTTCTATTCCATCCCTTACTCTCATTCAGACTAGAGATTACATTCTTATTCTAACGGTGTTCGTGTAATGTTATTTAGAATGTCCTTTCAGGGCAGACGACGGGTCCACGACTTTAGTATTGACTCACCCGTGGAAGGTTTGTTTTGTCGGCAGCGCGGTGCCTCAGTTGAAGCTCGTGTTAACTACTCTTCGGCGCTCTCGCCCTGGTTAAGCGAGAACCGAAAACGGTCAGGAAAACTTCTTAACCGCAACTCTCTACGCATCCAATAGAATTAGAAGTGACACTAACGGTTATTTCAACGTGTCCTCTAAACACTTTTTTAAAGCAATTCGTCCTTTGCAGAACTGAGGTCTGAGTATCTCGGATCGAAATTCCTAAACAGCTTCGCCGAACTCTCGCGAACTGATATCGAGTGTTGTCAGACCTACTTACATACATATGTGCGCAGAGCATACAGTCATGTGAAAAATAATAGGGTAATTTTAACCAGTTTAGACAATTTTATTTTTTGTTTGTATGATGTTAACTTTTTTTTTTTAGAAAAATTCAGCGCAATATCTAACGAAACCATATAAGTAGAAATTTCTAACTTTGTAGAAAAATTATAAAAATTCAACAAACTTTTTAGTGAGAATTTTTATAGCCCATTAAATTCCAGCATAAGAAAGTGCAAGTTTTAAGTGGCTAAGAATTTGCGTGGATTTTTGATAGTTTTTTTTTTTATGTCACGCATTTTGTTCTAAAATATAACACCAACTTACACTTGCATTTTATTAAGTTAGAGTTTTAATAAAAAGATTGTTGTCAAAATTTCTTGAATTTTTCTAATTTTTCTACAAAGTTTGAAATTTGGACTTATTTGATTTTTGTAAGATAGTTAATGAACTGAATTTTAATCAAATATATACTAAACATTAAACAAACGAAAAAAGTAGCCAAAATTGGTCAAAATGTCGTGTCACTATTATTTCTCATAATATGACGTCATAGTACGAGCGGAGCTATGCTTGTGTGCTTCATTCATAGCCGCGAATATGGAGACAAGGAATTTTCCATCACTGCAGGCTAGATAAACAGCAAATTTTTACCCTTCGTTCTCTACGAGTTTCGTTCGAGAATCAAAGACAATCAAATTAAGCAGAATAAGATCAATTAATTTTGAAAAAACTGTTGGAGGAATTTTTAATTTTGAATCGCCAGTTTTATCTCTCGTAAATCGAAGGTGGAAGAATTTGATTGGCGTTTGACTTCTAACTTCTCTATTAGCAAAGAAATTAATAACGATTTTCAACCAGTTTTATACCAGATTTGCTAAAAGCGCAACAGAACCTGCTCTTATCAATGCATAAAACAACAAAAATAGTAGCAAAAATGTTTGTAACTGAACTAACAGACAATTTCGTTCGGCTTCAGCGCATAGCCGCTGATAGCCAACCCGACCATATCTGTTGTCTGCGCTGACATTTGATCCACATCTGTTGTGTCTTGCAAGGCGGACAAAAGTACGATTTCCAATAAAAATAAAATTGCCAAAGAAAATGTTAATACGGTAAATCATCTGTTTTTTTGTGGGACAAGGTCCGAGGATCAGTTAGTATGTCGGAAATGAGTGACGTTCCTCGAAAAAGGTAGAAGATAATGCAATAAGTTCTGGATATTTTGTTATCTATGCATATGTACATATAATAAATTTGTAACAGACCGATGTCTCTACGTTATAGATACTAAAGGAAAATGAATGCGGGGGTGATCTTTAATAGATCAACAGAAGCCAAATCAACACTTTTAAAATTTTTATCTGCTGTCTGTATGTTTGTACGCACATCACTCGAAAATTAATGCATGTAATCGAATGAATGCACTTTTCACTGATGTATTGCCTGAGGTCTAACTTAGAATATAGAAGAAAAACATTGTAGAGTCGCCGCCGGATTGCAAATTGCAGTTAGGTAAATCGATAAGTCAAACTATATACTGCAATATGGCTATCAAAAGAAAGAGGTTTAAGAAGTCTCCGCCTCGATTTATCGTTGAACCTGGTTACAACACTATGCCATTCAAAATTTTTAAATAAATTTTTAAAATTCTTATCTCCATATTCAATGCCATTCGTCTTTACAGATAATGGACGAAATCAAGCAGGGCATCAAATACCTTTTCCAAACAAAAAACACAGCCACAATGTGCATTAGCGGCTCGGGGCATGCCGGCATGGAAACAGCTTTTATGAATCTCGTGGAGGATGGTGATGTTGTACTTCTAGGTTGCACTGGACTGTGGGGACATCGTGCCGCCGAAATGGTTAAGCGCGTCAATGGTGATGTACGTTACGTTGAGGCGCGTTTTGGACGCTCACTGACCATGAAAGAAATCGAATTCGCCTTTGAGGGACACAAGCCACAGATGTTCTTCATTGCACAAGGTGATTCATCGACGGGTATATTGCAGCAACATTTGAAGGAAATCGGTGAACTTTGCGAGCGTTACAACTGCCTTTTTGTTGTCGATGTGGTGGCTTCAGTGGGTGGCACAGAATTCTTTATGGATGCTTGGAAAGTTGATATGGCATATGCGGGTTCTCAGAAGGTGCTCGGTGCGCCACCAGGCCTAACGCCCGTTTCGTTCAGCGAACGTGCCATCGCACGCATCAAGGCACGCAAAACTTATGTCAAGTCGTACTATTTTGATGCCCTACTTGTCGGACAATATTGGAATTGTTTCGATTTACCACGCATCTATCATCACACCATCTCATCGACGCTGCTGTATGGTCTGCGCGAAGCATTGGCACAATTTTGCGCGATGGGTCGGAAAAATGTGATACATCGACACCAGGAGTGCTCACATCGGCTGCAGTGTGGTCTGCAGGATATAGGCTTGGAGATGCTTGTGCCAAATGCCAATGATCGCTTGCCTACGGTGAATACAATTAAAGTACCGGCGGGTGTGGAGTGGCGCAAGGTGGCCGAGTACGCGATGAGAAAGTGAGTAGATATTGCAATTCGAGCGGCTTATAACTAAGATAATATTGACACTAACTATGTATTTATTACTATTTTTTTTTTTGCAGATACAACTTGGAGATAAGCGGCGGTTTGGGACCCACAGCTGAGCAGGTGTTTCGTATTGGGCTGATGGGTGAGAATGCCACATACGAGCGTGTGGATCTGGTGCTTAACATTATGCATGAAGCTATACTAAGCACGAAATTGAAAGATAAATCAAAAATCTAATATATGTAGTTCGCATTGCTATTAACAAAATTTAGCGTTTAAGATATTATAAAGTGCAAAACTTTGCATAAACTGTATACACACTAACTAGGGTTGATTAACTATAAATACTTATGTACCAGTAAAATCACACGCATTCAAGCTGAAGTGATAATTGTTACATTTTCATAAATAAATAAGATAAGAATTTTGTTAATATGGAGCTCTTATAGGTCATGGACGATATTGCCAAGAATTTGTCTATTCCACACAAGAATGCCTGTCTACGTTGGTTGGTTGCTTCAGGTGGATTATCACCCTGGTGGTAAGCAATTAGCAAGTTTGCCATTTTCATTCCACAACTCGTGGAGCTGACACCCATGTGGCGGCACTAATGAATTTCAGTACGCCTTATAGAGAGAGGGGGTTGCACTCTGAAACATTCTGCAGGAATGGTTTGCCGAGTGTCTTTAGCCTCATCCGCATAAGCCGAGAGCTGAACCATATACAACGCGTGGGACACATTCCGTGCGGAGCTATACAGCTTGTTGAAATTCTAAGGGGTGTTTGGTTCTGTTTTAACGGCTAGGTTATTAGATTCAGAATGAATCCAACAATTTTATTGAGCTTGGGGCCGTTTTTATGAAAAATGTTGTGGAAAAGCAACAATAATATACAAAGGTAAGAAGTTATAGCTGCTATTTGGGAGATCACTACATCTACTAATCAGACTTCTTCAACCGCGGTCACTGAGGAGATGTGGTGATCTCCGAAGTAGCAGCTATACCTTCTACCTTTTGTAAATTATTGTTGATTTTCAATAAATTTTTTCATAGGAAACGGCCTCAAGCTCAATTAAATTGTTGAATATAATTGTTATAAGGCCATAAATAACAAAAAAATTCTGAATGAATAATAAATTTACGGCCAGTCAAACATACCGAAAGAAAGTCGGAGAGTCTCCTTACTTCGATGTTTAAGACATCGGTAATACTTCCATCGATGTATCGTCAATTTCGCGATGTTAGTAAATTGTAAAAATCGATGGCAAACATTGAAAATTTAACCGATTTAATCGTGTAAGATCTAAGAAACTCCCTCGGGTGGTTACCACCTTATGCTAAATTGTTCTTGGCTTCTAGGTTTTCTTCGAAAGAATACTGACGACTGTCGGCCACTCAGATAAGTCTGCGTTCATCATTTTATTCTTGGTCTTAGAGAGGTGGTCTCGGTGCCAAAAACTTTCCGACAGGTCCCAATGCTACTAAAACGGCACTCTCACAGCGACGAACAGGTTAATGCCGCAATTATTTAAGGTGTTAAGTGCTGTAATAGTGCCGTGCACATTGTGGATGTGTCTTTACGAGTGGTGAACATAAATTTGACGGCAGTTTGCCCCGGCTTAAGTAGTGGGGATACTCTCCCTGATTTCCACAATCAGCAATTATGAGAGAAGTCATCGACAAATTAAAGATTCTGGTGAGGTATTCAACTCGCGTTGGTCCAAAGTTTTAAGGCATCAATATGGATAACCAGTCGGCACCCAATGGCTTTGGTGACTCTTTCCTTCCCGATAACTACTTCATATAACTGGCACACGCACCAGAAGTAGGTTGCTGTAAACGATGGCTCAAGCGATTGGTACCATTTACACGGATCACTTAGGGAGCTTACGATTTGTAACATTTTAAGTGTAAAGTTGCTATGTAGATAGATAGATAGATATATAGTTGAAGTAAGCACTGCGACCAGTAGGTCTATTGTGCTCTCAACTCATCACAGTACCTCACCAACTTGCTACTTAGCAATCTAGCACATACTTTGTTGCTTTTCCAACAACAACAAAATGCGTTGCCAGATTGCTAAGTAGCAACTTTACACCTAAAATGTTTCTCATCGTGAACTCCCCTACTGATCCAAGCAGAGTTAGATCGTCGCCCAACAGCTCTTGGTAGGGTAAAATCCTAATCATTGCTGTACGTAGATACGGCTTTCGTAGGATTGAAATCATTTTCATTTTGTTAAACGATTTCTATAAATCTTTTTTTTTTAGAGGAAATGTGGTACATCAGAGGAGGTCCCTTACTAATTTGGTTTACATCGCCCCATTGGATCATGAAGAAATTAACGGTACTCTTAAATTTTTATATGATATTGGAAAATGGACAAATAAATAGTTTGGGAAAAAATACTAAGGATCTATTTCATGTATGGAATTAACAATAACAACCACGCTGCCCAGTTTAAATATCGGCAAATCAGCTATACATCGATAATGCGGGTTCGATGCCTGCTTAAGTCTAGAAAAAAGAACTGTGATGAGGAGGGCTGGTGATCTTCAAAATAGCTGCTATAACTTCTATCGCTTAACTCATTAAACGCGAAAGCAAAAGAGGAAATTGAGAGGAACCAAATTTTGGAGCACACTAAAAGAGAGGATATGTTCAAAAACCCATCATAAAAAGTTTCGACCTCTATAAAGGGTTGTCTGTACGACCTGAAACATATATGTAACACTCGTGAATCTTTGTTATGTAATACAAATTTTAATAACAACAATATCAGTCCACGAAATTCGAACGTTACATATATGTAACACTAGCGTTTAAAGAGTTAAGACTTTGTTGCTTTTTCCATTTTTCCTAATAACCAATCGTGGTACAAAGCTCAATATCTAGCCATAAATTTTAAATTTTTTGATGACCAACCATCAAATTCTTAAAAAAAAAAACGCAAGAAAAACTCATAAAATTTTTGTGTACAAAAAACATTTAATCATTATTTGATTTACATACATATGTACGAACGTAAGTAATATGCCTTAAAAAGCTTACATGCATTATTAACTTTTTTCTATTTTAGAGGATATGCAAAGTTGCACTGCCACATGCAGCTTACACATAAATACATATGCTACATACAAACAGCTGCAATGTGCTTCAATAACAATAAAAGTAAGTATATACTTTAGTTCAATATATAAATTCTCGAATTGGCGACAAACATTTGCTGCACATGCGCTTGGAATACTTTTTGTTTAATATACTTATATAATTATTTATTATTTTTAAATTTTTTTGTTAATTACTATTTTCATTGTGTTCATTAATATTGATACAGGTAGGCATGTTAAGGGAATTATAAACGTTTTTTAATTTTCTTTATTATTTATTTAAATGCAGGCCACTGCTAAACGTATAAACATTATTTCCATCTAACCATTCATTACCATACGCACAAATTCTTCATAATTCACATTGCCTTGTGTGTCCTCTTGATTGGTCATTAGCTGTTCGACCTCTTCATCGGTTAACTTCTCACCCAGCGTAGTTAGTAGATGTCTCAATTCAGCTGATGAAATGAAACCGCTGGCATCTTTGTCGAAGTGGCGCAAACCTTCAATGAAATCATCGGCAGTATCGCCAGAACGCGCCTTGGAAATCGCCTGATAGATAGGTAAGAAAACTTCGAAGCTAATCCGTTCGTCAGGCTTCAATTGGTGAGTGCATTTCTTTACATCCGATTCAGTGGGATTCTGACCGAGTGCACGCAAACACTCGCCCACTTGACTCAGTTGGATTTTACCATCACCGCGATTGTCGAAGAGGTTGAAGGCCTCTTGGAATTCTACAATGTTGCGAAAAAAATGAAACCAATTTAATTAACTCAATGTAAAGGAAAAGCAGACACAAATTACAAATAAATGCAATAGTTTTAACCTTCCACTGTAGTAAATGAATTTTTTGTTGGTGGCTCGTAGATGTACATTGCAAATGTGTTAACTTTGTTTGCTTCACGTTTGTTTAGTGAATTAATTTTTTATTTGCGATCAATAAAATTTTGCAATACTAAAGTGTTGTGTTGCATGTTACGCGCAGCCAACGAATGAAATGCGCAAAAGTGGTTTGGTGATGTCCCACCGCAAAAAATAATTGAAGGTGAACTTGAGCGCTTACATATGTAGGGGCTGGTATTAGGCGCGTAGATGGAGAAAAAAAACACAATTCCAATATGTCAAGCAAAAAACGAGTACTTTGGTCTCTTCGAGTTCGAGATAATTTAACAAACATTTTCAAATATACGTACATATAATAGTATATACAAATAACTGAAATTTGATGCAAACATATTAAATTACATTGATATACATAGTTTGTAAAATTTTACTAGTTTTTCGCTGTGCAAGCACCCTGTATAATAATTTGCTATCATTGCAGTTTAGTTATTTTATCCATATACGGTAAAACATGTTTTTCCATCGAGAATTGCCTTTTTGGCTGCAGATAGACGTTGTCGAGTACACCCATTCCCCCAACAACAGTCGTCATAAATGTTGTAACTACCTTAAGAGTGATGTGAGTAAACAATTGGAGGATGGCACAAATACGCATGTATGTATGTACATTAGACTGCAACACTCCCCATACAAAAAAAATAAAAATCGGTACTCTTATTCCATTGGAATTATAAAACCTATTATATTTTAAGACGTCCCCCAAAATATTTCGGAAAAATATTAAGATTTACCTGAGCTGGAAATGAAAATGAAATACCTCCAAAAATGGAGCTTTTTATGAATAAAAATTGCATCTTAAAGATTTTTTTTTCAATCCTCTCAAATGACAAAACGGTTTAAGCTTAAAATATTTGCACAAAAATATTTAAACAAATTTTCAATGGAATCGTAATTATGAGATTTTTGATGCAGTTTTTTAACTTTTTTCAAAGACTGGTATAAGAAAAACTTTAATAACTGAACCTAAACTACTCCGATTAAGACTTGTGAGGTATCAGTGGAAAGGTATTTTCCCACCCTTTTTATTTCTTTGCTAATAAACTTATTCAAAGGATGAAAGAGAAAGCTAGGATGAACGAGCGTCATTCCAAGATGAATTAAGATGTGGTGGCATATGAAAAAAAAAATTTGGACACGAATGACTTTTTTTGCACAGAAATAAAAATAGTGAGGAAATACCTTTCTACTGAGACCTCAGAGAATCAGAATAGTTTTGGCCCAGTTATTCAAGTTTTTCGTAAATCAATCTTTGAAAAAAGTTAAAAAACAGCATCAAAAATCGCATTATTACGATTCCGTTGAAAAGATTTTTAAATATTTGTATGCAGATTTTTTAAGCTTAGTCTGTTTTGTCATCTGAAGGGATTCTTTTTCGAAAATTTCTTTAAGAAACCACTTTTGTTCATAAATAACTCCATTTTAGCGGTATTTTCAAACCTGTCCAGCTCACGTAAATCTTAATATTTTTCCCGACATATTTTTATGGACATCTTAAAATATAATAAATTTTTTAATCCCGGCGGAAAAAGCGCAACTGTTTTTGGTGATGCAGTCTAATACATAAATGTACATATGTACATACATGTGTTTGCTTTATGTAGAGCTTTACCTAAACTTATTTTATAGCTTTGTTTTATATACATATAGATTTTTCATTGCATTCATATCTACATCACATAATATGTGATAATATTATATGTACTATGTACGTATATACACATTTTCTAGTACAATTTTCTTCACATAAATTATAACACATTGCCATTTCCTACTGATTGTTTAGAGAACAATGGACTTGCTGCTATGAGGTATGTTTGTCAGATATGATGTGGTCATAAAATATGTACATACTTTAAAATTCCTTGCAACTGGAGTATTTGCTCCAAAAACTTCAGCGCTAGTATATTTGGTGGTGGATTTTTCAGTTGTATTATGTAAAAAATTTACTTTATTTCGACTCTATTGACGCAATATGCCTAGACATATAGTACTTAATTCAAAAAAAGAAAAAAAAAACGTTTATCAAAAGCAGTGATAAGGAAATGCTGATTGGATTGAAACTAAAATATTGCATGCGGTTGCTAATAATATGCCTATACATACATATACAGACCTTTGAAAAATAAGGTAAACTACTATTCTACTAAATGATTTTCTGTAGTCAAACAACACCGGATGATTCCGTTTTGTTTAGTCAATTCACACTGGATGATTTGTTACCATTAGTAAATTTATATAAAATGATTATATATATTTTTTTCATAAATGTCGATTTAAAATCCCTCTTGTGGTTGTTGTTGTAACAGCATACAAATTCCTCAAAGAGATTTTGGGAGTGTTGCTGGAGTGACAGTCCTTGGCCAGATATAAATCTGGGTCGTTCCGGTTACGTAGACCCGACTGTCGTGGGAACGTATAATCCCTATTCATTTCCTTTGGGTATGGTGTGTCAAGGTTTTAGAAATAATATGGCAAATTAATAAAAATATCCTTTAAAAAATTATTTGTATGTATAAGCTACGGCATTTAGTTGCCATTTACAACTATAGTTAGTTGTTGCATGCAACATAAAACGTACAACTTGACCATAAAATCATTGAAGGCAATGCATATTGCATTGGAAATCGCCCAATAAGGTAAGAAAGCGGCTAAACCTTGACGTACACATGTATGAATGTACACACATGTGTACATTTTCGCTGATATAAATAAGCAGCACAAATAGCAATTTAATTTCATTCCAGCGTTAACCAGATAGCTGAGTACGAAGAATACTACAATCAATTGGAGCATAGCCATAAAATAATAAATTTTTGAAGCGAATTGTAATAAAATCGTTGATTAAGCAGCAATAATGAGTACAAGAAATTATTTCAAAGTTGGCAAATTTATAATCGAGGCTATTCGAATAGTTTAATATTTACTTATTGCCTCAAAGCAAAATGGTGTCCACTTATTGATAGCGTCATCGACTGGCATTTAGTGTCACACGTACACTGTGTGGACACTTTGCTGCGATATCTTTTGGAGTTTTTTTTTGTATGCTTTGTGCTGGTTAAGTACTTTGGTTTGTAAAGCTGTTACTCGTCCAAAGAAAAGTGAGTCATCAGCCACAAAAACAACCGTGGTCCATATGAAAATGAAGTGCAATGCATTGTAGTATTAAATATCGTCACACTGGAATTTCTTTTACACGGACTGTTAAGGTTCGTGACACAAATATATGTCCAATTCCTGCATCTTCTATCCAATCCATAAAACACGCCAACTACTATTTACTATACTAAAAAATGCTATGAGATCTTCTTTGTTTTCTCTATTTTACTCACCAGCCAATTGGTCTTCACTGAAGTTGGTCTGAAAATAATTCGAGTATGTTTAAAAGTAATGGAAAAGTGAAAATAAACACAGATATTTACCATTTTATATATTTCAAGAAAGTAAATGAAACCCCAAAAAACTGTAGAAAATTTTATACACGTCAAAACCGCTCAGAGTTCTTTTTTGGAATGTGTCAGTGACGAACGTACTTGGCGTTGCCAGCAGTGTTGCCAGAACTTTTTGGGCCGACCGGCTAGATTGGCAAAAAAAAACGGCTAAAAACGGCTAAAATGTTTTAGTGAAAATCCACATGCTTTATTTAAATAAATCGCAAGAAACGAAAGACTAGTTAACACCATTAATTTATATCGAGTGTATATTCCTCATCATCAAATGAATCACTATTGTATATATACGGTGACCATAAATATGGATTCAAAATGAAGGACAATTTTTCAAAAATATGCCTACATATATTTACGTAGTATAAAAATATCAAAAGAGTATTTATGATTCTTAATTCTTAACACATTTTAAACTTTAAAAATGAATCACGTTTTCTTCATTGATATTAATCCTTTTTTACATGAATATTTATAAAAGTATAGTAAAACATATTACAATTACAATAGCTTACACGAAAAGTGAAAATCTTTAAAAGATTATTTTATGGCAAATTTTTAGGCGTTCAAAACGAAAGCAATACCCTTCTTTTTTTGTTTTGTTTTTGGTACTGTTCGCAGTTATTTGTCAAAAATCGACGTCATGAATCGACGTAAACGACGAGTTAGAAAGTGCCCTTTACAAAAATATATAACTTGTGCAGATTGCGCTCCATAGCATTTACATTTCTAGTCCGATTTTCATTATCTTTGGCTCAAAGTTTACTGTAATGATATATCTTCTTTATCGAATTTTTAAACTAATGAAAAAATAATCAAATGAATCTGTGTATTTGATTGAAAATCTCACTTTTTTCGCCTGTAGCACTAATAATTTTCATTGAAGTCGCCACAAGTTATATATTTTGGTAAGAGGCACATCAATACCCTTCGAGCTGTAAGGCGCTTACGTTAATTTGGAGATTTTTTCATGAGATATTGAAGAAAAGCTAAGAAAAGTACCAAAAACACTTTTTTGAAAAAATCCATCCATTGTCCGATAATTTTAAAATAACGAATAAAATGCGGGACAAATACAGGACACTTGGAAAAAATCAGTACATTTTCGGGGTTTTCAGGTTTGAAAAACTACGCAGGACCGACCTTTGAAAAACAGTACGGTCCTGCAAAAAACAGAACGGATGGTCACCGTATGTATATATCACCTGAATTCATTAATTTTAAGAGATCGTCATCTACAGTAAAATTATGGCAGCATTTTTCTTCACGTTTTAAACCGTATCTTATATATAAAATAGCGTTTAACGTTTTAACGCACATTGGATTTCTTTGCTTAGTTTTTATTATATTCATTGAACTAAATATTCGCTCTACTTCTGCATTACTTATAGGCAAAACAAGAAAACTAAAAACTAGGTTGCAAAGGTCAGCAAAAGGGTTTTCTCCTAGGGCATTTCGAAATTGATAAACTTCGGCCCAAAATTTTACAGTTGAGTCTAAATTACTCCAGGTATGTAACGTTAACCGTTGCCATTGCATCTCTATGGATGTTATTTCGTCGGCATTATATTTGTGGTTTTGTTGCTGTAGTTGAACAAATTCTTTTGGTTTAATTACTCTTAATGCATTTCCAACCGAAAAAAGTCAATTTTTTTTAGTGTGACAATATTTGTAGGGAGGCGTTGGCGTAATTCCTTTATTAAAGTGATAATAAAATAGCGACCATTTTCTCGAATTATTTTCTCGGCTTCGTGGTCAAAAGCGTTTGTGCTTTTGTTTTTAAATACTCTTCAAAACTGTGATAAAACTGAGGACATGGAGCAAGGTATGGTTCCAACGGGGAGCATATAGGATCAAATTTGTCCGCCCTAATAACCACTAGGGAGCATAGATCCGAAAGTAAAACATTGAGTTCATTAAAAATCTTCATTGGGTCTGCATTATTGCTTTCGAACAACTTGTTTACTTTTTGCACCTGAAAATTAGGCAAATAGTAAAATCGGCTAAAAAACGGCTAACTTTTTTTTACAAACCGGCTAACAAATCGGCTGCCGGCTAGATCGAATTTTCTCCGGCTAGTTGCTATCAAAACCGGCTAAATCTAGCCGGAAAACGGCTAAAATGGCAACGCTGGTTGCCAGTCTCTGTAGGAAACAAACGTTACCATATCATTTTTATTTGATGTGTAAATTTTATGAGATTTACGTTCCTTCCATTTTTT